AAAATCTTATTAGCTCCTTAGGGCTTCCAAACCTAGGGATTGGAAGACTTACAATTGTGAACAGCTAATGAAAGCAGTTCTGTTTTCTTGGAATCTCTTACGGCACAAGTTTGCATTGTGATGTATTTTTAACAAACACAACAATCTGTATTGTGTAATTTTGTGTACCAGTACATGGCAAGGGCAGAACAAATGATCTTCTTGTTAACGGAAGCATCATGATCAGTGATGTATAGCAGAAAAATGCAACTTTTCAAGCTGCATTGCAGTGTTCATAGACTCTGACTCAGTCCAGCATCTCATTTGAAAATGGGCAACAATGGAGCTTCAGTACAGGGGGAAAGTGTTTGTGAAGTGAGTGTTCTAGATTCAAGCAAAACTTTCTATTGATTCTCAAAGGTTTGACATGTGGTATGCTCCGAAATACAAATTGTGCTCTAAGTAGTTTGTTTTAAAATTATTTTCTAGTTTTAAGTTTCTGGGTATAAAAGGTATACATGCTTTTTGTGCTCACCCCGCTGCACAGGCTGGGCATCATTAAGTGTGAAGACTTAGTTTGGAACAGTCTTAGTTGCCTCTAAGGAGTTGGGTTAGGCTATCACTGGCAGTCTCAATTCAGATTCTATTATCCATGAGTGGCTTCATTATATCCCTTAGATAGTTCCAGGAAAGTGGAAATTAATTAGTTGTCACTATTGCAGGGCAGCAGCAGCAGATATATCATGGATCTGGCTTTGGTAAACAGATGACTGGTAAATGGTTTGTGTGATGGCCTGGGATTCGGATTCGGATGCTGAACCTGAGGGATCCCAGCCTGCACAGGATTCCCTGCCTCCAGGACCAGCTGAGCCAGGGCTGGGGCATGAGCCTGAAAGATCCTCACCTGTGCTGGATCCTCAGGTGCAGGCACCAGCTGACTCTGCTCTGGCTCCTGAAGTGATGGAGGACCCATTGCCTGCAGGTGCTCCACTCTTAGCCACGCCAGAGGAAGCTGAGGTTGCCTCTGTGTCCGGTAACCCTCCAGCCTCTCCTGAGCTGCAGAGGCTCAGGGCAGAGAGGCGGAGGGAACTAAGTTCCCGCAGGAGGAGTGCTCGCCTCCAGGCCAGGAGAGGCGAGTCACCTGAGGATCGGGGCCACCCTATGCCTCGGGGCAGATAAAAGCCAGTCAGCCCCAGTCCCAAGTTGCGGGAGCAAGAGGAAGAAGAAGAAGAAGAAGAAGAAGAAGAAGAGGAGTTTGGATTTGATATCCCGCCTTTCACTCCCCTTCAGGAGTCTCAAAGCGGCTAACAATCTCCTTTTCCCTTCCTCCCCCACAACAAACACTCTGTGAGGTGAGTGGGGCTGAGAGACTTCAAAGAAGTGTGACTGGCCCAAGGTCACCCAGCAGCTGCATGTGGAGGAGCGGAGACGCGAACCCGGTTCCCCAGATTACGAGACTACCGCTCTTAACCACTACACCGCACTGGCAATATCGTTGGTTGTCAGTTCCTGCCTGAACCCTGTCCTGCTTTCCTGCCGGAGCTCCTGACCTCACCCGACTCCCTGTCCTGCACCCAGCTTCAACTTCTAAGGACTGCCTCCCTATTGCACCTTTGACCTCGGACTGGACTCGGACCTCGCCTCTCGGTTAGCCCATGGGGCCAGCACAGTTTGATTGTGGTGGTTCAATTAGCCCATTGTTATGGATTTAGACTTTTGGTAGCAATGACTCCCTTCAAGGTATAGTGGATGTCTGCCGTGGAATCTGTGGGATTCCTGAATGCTTTTGGGGATTTCCCAGTTAGCATGACTGGTGCTCTTCCATAATCTTTGTCTGTATGTGGAACAGAGAAATGGAAAGGGTCATTGTGGCCCATCTGTTCTCATGGATGTAAGAAGGCCTCCTTGATTTTGGGGAGAACTCCAGGTGACCAGACAATAGCAAGTATTGTACCAAATGCATTTAGAATAGTTGAGAGTGCACTTTTGTGCCTACCATGTGGCAGTGATGGTGGTGAACAAAACTTGCTTCTCCAGCACCTTTGCATCTTCAAGAAGCTATCTGGGAAAGCTTTCCTCAGTGATGAAGAGGCTGCTACGATCATTCCACAAAGGCACCAAGCAGTTGGAGGCCTGCTGTGATAGACAGAGTCCTGAATGGTTTGAGACTCATTTAGCAGAAAGACAATACAGTATTGGAGAGATGCTCTATGTGTTGGAGGGAGGCTCTGTTAGTAGAATGGAATATTCTCCCTCATGAGATGAGATGGGCACCGACACTGAATGGACTCCAGTTTGGGGTTACAAAGTTTATCTTTCATTGAATCTTTGAACAGTAAAAATGGTTATATAATGGTCAGATTAAGGTTCACGTATATTGATTTTTATCAGAAATGCTTTACTCTGGGCATATTGATCCATATTGTTTTTTGTATGGTATCTGTAAGCCATTCTGAGAATGTATAGTGATGCATGGGATATGAATCTACTAAATGAATAAATGGGACTTGGTACAAGTTGGAAAACCTTATTGCCCACCTGTATTTACTGACCCATGAAGACACATCCCAGCAGTTCATACAGCCATGATTCGTCCTGAATCTCCACTTTGAAACAACCGCCTGTTTGTAGCTGGACATCAGTGTCAAGTTGGAGGTTATAGAAAGGCTTCTAAGTCCATATAAGTGGTTAGCACAAAGCAAATGTTGTTTACTGCAGTTGCGGAATTGCACTTAGACGAGTGGATTACAAGGTGATTTATAAGACTTGGCAGACATGGCTTGTGTAATGTGAAACCTTAGGTTCTCGAGCAGACGATTCCTGGGGTCCCTTGCATCCTCCCCCTCCCTTTTGGTGTATTTAGTTCACAGTGTAACACAGTGTAAGATGTGAGGCACACTTAGGAGTTGGCATAACATTTTTGCACATAGTTGCAACCAAGACCTGCAATTCAAAACAGGAGGGGGCTCTTTGCAATCTATGGTGTCAACAGCTTCTGACTTCCTGTCTTGCGCCACCTGTGTCCTAATAGGACTAACTCTTTATCTTAAGCCAAGTAATCACTTTCAATAGTGAAATCTTGGCAAGAGTTCAGACTCTGTCCTCTTGCATCCTGTGAGATTGGGTTTTACAAATAGTAACCTCTCAATAGGATTGTGGTAAAGTTATTAGTGCTCCTGTGATGTACACAAGTGAGTCCTAACAGTACATGCAAATGTTTGTTTTAATTGCTCATGTCTGATGGAGTCTGTGCCTGTTATGATGCAACCTTAAAAACATGTTACCACTGCTAAAAGTCATCTCCATCTCCTAAATGTAGAAATGGATAATGACTTGCAAAGGAAAGTCCTGGGTCTATTTCCTTATCTACAGTAGGTCTCATTTGTAGCATATTGTTACTGTGGTTTGCCATATCTCTTGACTGGTTCTGTATTGTTCTTTACATATCTGCTGGACTTAGATGCTTCCTTGGGACTATAAACGTGGGATACTTTTAAAGTTACGTTAAATATGTGCAAATACTTTAGTGTACTCCCATGTACCAAGAAATGACATGCGTGTAACAAAGGAGGAAAGGTGAACTCTGAAAAGCGGTAGTATTTGTTCCCTCTTGTTGAAGCAGCTTTCACAGATAGGCCTGACTGTAATCTTCCTAAACAGCTCAGAGATCTTTTAATGACTCCTTACTAGGGACATTGGAGAATTTCGATGGGAATGGGGAGAGAAATTGCCAATGTTCACTTATTCATCCCTTAAATCAATCCAGCAAACACGACTGGCACTGCTGCTGCTGTTGCTTTCCATCCACAAATGATACATCATTGATTACATGCACCCTGATTTGCATTGAGTTCCCTTTGCATTTAAATGAATGGGGTGGAATACTGTACATTGCCAATTAATTGTGTAGGTTAAGTAACAAATTGTGTAAGTTAGGTAATTTTACCATAGTGGACTGCAAGACAAATGGTGTGGTTTTTGGAAGAAGGCTAACTGCAGTGAAATGGAAACAGTGCTGCACGCAATGAATGCAGTACGGAATGAGGGCGGGGGGAGGAAGCCTTCTTACATTCCCAGCCTCTACCCACTTTTCCCCCTTGGATAGTCACTTTTCTGCAAAGGGTCGGAGAGAAATGTTTGATTCTGGCTGGCACTTTGATTCTAGGCCTAAACTGTTCTCACAGCACTTGCTGAGATGTTGTATGTTCCACAGCAAACGATTCAGCATGGGGCTTAATTCGTCTTCCTCTCTGGTGGCTGCTTGCCTAAGACATATGAGTCCTGCACATCTGGCTCACATGGTTCTGACACTGCAGCTGACACACCATGCCAGGTCTTTCCAGATGATCATTTTTATTGAGATGGAAATGTTTAGCTTGGTGGCTTTAGGCGTTTTTCATACCTGAAGCAAAAAGTCAAAATGACAGCTCTTCGTTACTAACTTAAAAAAACAAAATAAAAAGCTTGGGTATGATTCCACATGATGAGTTAGGGGAAGAAAATTGTGATTTCTTAGGAATTTGCTGCACAGAGTGCTTCATTATAAGGCTGTCTCTGGGTGTTACTGAGTTGGAGTGGTGGTTCCAGATGACATTTTCCAATGCAATTGTGATGAAATCACTTATTATTTAATGTTTGGGTCTGGAATATGCTGTTATACCCTGCCAGTTACTTTCCTTTCAGTCACCACATGTGTGATATGCTGTGATTTGGTCTTCATTTGGCCAACCTTTGCTTTGAAAGCCTTGCCATAGGAACACAGGACTCTCTGCCTTATACTGAGTCAGACCATTGGCCCTGCACTGAAGGGCACCAGCTCTCCCAAGTTTTCGGGCAGAGATTCTTTCAGTTCTTAATCCTCCCCCCTTAGACAGAGAGCTCATGTAGTCTTAGGAAACTCCTCAAACCTGGAGTGCATACCTTTTACAAGCAGAAAATTGCAACCAACCAGCCATCCCCAAGTGAAGCAATCCCTCGCAGCAATTTTTCCACACCTTCCCCCCTCCACCCCCAGGGAAATTGCTATAGCTTGGTGGTAGAGCTCATGTACTGCAAGCAAAAGGTCCCAGGTTCAATCCCTGGGATCTCCAGGTTGGGTCGGGAGAGATCCCTGTCTGAAACTCTGGAAAGCCACTATTCAGTGCAAAAAGGTAAAGGAAAAGGACCCCTGACAGTTAAGTCCAATCGCAGATGACTCTGGGGTTGCGGTGCTCATCTCGCTTTACAGGCTGAGGGTTTGTCCGCAGACAGTTTTTCCGGGCCATGTGGCCAGCATGACTAAGCCGCTTCTGGCGCAACGGAACACCGAAACCAGAGCAGCACACTGAAACACTGTTTACCTTCCCACCAGAGCGGTACCTATTTATCTACTTGCACTTTTTTTGGCGTGCGTTCGAACTGCTAGGTGGGCAGGAACTGGGACCGAGCAACGGGAGCTCACCCCGTCGTGGGAATTCGACCAGCAAGCCCTTCTCATAGCAATACATTGCTTGGAAAAACCAAGCGCTGGTGAACTGCAGTCATTTCTTTTCAATGTGTAAATCCAGCTCAGAAGCCTTTACAGTTAGCAGGAATAAAACGAGCCATTGTGTATCTGGCACATTATCTGAATGTGAGATTCACCATTCTATTGTTTTCCAGCAACCTCCTGACCCCCAGTCCTGTTCGCGCTAGACATTGCAGGGGAAGTTTGAACTTGTGATGGAAAATAAAAGCTTTCCTCTCCCTGCCGTTTAGGCGATGAGAGTTCAATTGCAAATTGATTTCTTTTGTATTTGCTCTGCCGAGCAGCCCCTGACCACAGGATTAGCTCTGCTTAATTAGTAGCTCAGTGATGGCTCCTGTTGTGTGAAAATGGCTTCACCTTGGTTTTGTGTTGCTGAGGTTTGTGTTTCCTTCAGCCGAAGGAACAAAAAAATGGGAAAGCCAGGGCACTTTTCTATTCGATACTCAAGTGCTGGAGAAAGGTTTCTTCCTGGGTGGAATTACTGGGTGTATTGATTATTTAATGTCTATGCCGCTTATTATGTTAAAAAATATCTCGATAAGCAGCGTACAAAAAACCCCTGAAGCAACAGACAAATCTAAAGAAAATACTACAAAAATGAAAGAGTGTCTCTCTTTGTGTTGCTCTGTGTTCAAAGCAGCCTCAGCAACTTGCATCTCTGGGCCAAGTCTGGTGCCACACGCAGAGCTATGGAAGCCCCAGCAATCAGCTGATTGTTGGCAGCCCAGGCAGTGTTGCAGGAGCTGCTGATGGGCAGTGTCTGCAAAAATTCTCCTTGCCAGCTGTATCTGTAGTTGTTTATGTCATGGGTATCCCTTCCTTCCTCCCGTAGGAGCTCAGAGCAGCAAACATACAAATGATACAACAATTAAAACACATCTGAAAACAATTCCAGTACAGATGCATGCTGGGAAAGATCTTCAGTCGGTGCTTAAAAGGTGGTGGCACCTGCCGAATATGTAACAGGAAGTCAGTCCAAAGAAGATGCCATGACACTAAAGGCCTGGGTGTAGCCTCTGGGGTGGAGGGCATGTCCTGGGTTTCACAGCTCCCGCTCTTGGTGGGGGTGGGGGCAAACAAAGGCTACCCAGGCTGTTGCTTTTTGTCTCTTGGCAAAGCCATTGGCTGGTTTTTAAAGTGTACTGGGGAGAAATCTGGAGCTCCTTGTGGTTCTTTGTTTGTTTTAAACATCTTGGACAGCAGCTGCCTCCATCAAGCAGGGGTGATCTGTCAATTTCAGTTTTTCTGTTTTTCATTTTTCTCCTCTTTAAGTAAGTACTCATCAGCATTTTAGCACAAATTGCTCCAAACGCACACATTTTGCAAAACAACTTCCCCATATATAATACCTTTCTGTGCTCATTTTTTGCATACAGCAAGTGGCTAAGAGAGCTGTATTGCAAGATTTGGATAAATGAAAATTTTGAAAGATGGGTGTGTTTTGGTTTGGATATTGTTTCAGAAAGTTTGAATTAGGGAGCAATTAGGTACTTGAACCCAATCAAATTTCTTGCCCATCCTTGTCTTCAAGACAAGCTGTTGCTCTTCCTTTCTTTCTTTCTTTCTGATAGGAAGTAGGAAAATAATTTTCATAGCTACATGATTACTTACTGAATCAGTTCCTGCCAGCACCACTTTAAAATTTGCAGAAGGCTGGCCAGGATGCTCCTCCTGAGATCCTGACCCCAGAGGGAGAGTGCAGCAGGCTGCATGTAGGTACTTGGTTAGGCATTCAAACAAGGCAGTGAGGAGTGATGGGAAAGAAACTGTTGACAGTGGCTGTGGGAGAGCAGTTGTGCCAGGTGGGGACAGTGACCAAGGTGGTAGTGGGCTATTGAGAGCACCTTGCCCAAGTCCCTCAAAGCATAGCTACTGAAAAAGAAGCCCTGCTGAATGTTTTTATACATCACAATGTAGATTTAAGGTAACTTTGCAACTGATGCTAAGAACTCTGTTGACATCACCTTGCCAACAAATGTCCGTATAGTAAAAGCTATGGTTTTCCCAGTAGTGATGTATGGAAGTGAAAGCTGGACCATAAAGAAGGCTGATCGCCAAGGAATTTATGCTTTTGAATTATGGTGCTGGAGGAGACTCTTGAGAGTCCCATGGACTGCAAGAAGATCAAACCTGTCCATTCTTAAGGAAATCAGCCCTGAATGCTCACTGGAAGGACAGATGATGAAGCTGAGGCTCCAATACTTTGGCCACTTCATGAGAAGAGAAGACTCCCTGGAAAAAACCCTGATGTTGGGAAAGATGGAGGGCACAAGGAGAAGGGGACGACAGAGGACGAGATGGCTGAACAGTGTTCTCGAAGCTACCAGCATGAGTTTGACCAAACTGCGGGGAGCAGTGGAAGACAGAAGTGCCTGGCGTGCTCTGGTCCATAGGGTCACGAAGAGTCAGACACGACTAAACGACTAAACAACAACAACAACTTCATCACCGCAAGTCAAATTTGTGAATATGGTTAATCGGCGATCACTTTTTCAAATGACCAAAGTGGTTACTCAGTTCAAAAGACCTGCTGTACAAATAGATCTAGTACAGGTGATCGTATCTCAACTCATTAAGCGGCAATGAATTCAAGCTCTTTGCTGGAATGTAGAACCCCTTCACTTGAGCTGCGCTTAAACTTGGAAGTGTCTAACCAATCATTAGTTTCCCATTTCATCCAAACTTGGAAATGATGGTCGCCAGTTTAAGATCATCTGCTGCAGCTAGTGGTTAAGGAGAGAACTTAACCACAAGCCTGGGATGGGATGCCACACTAAGCCATATCTTGGTTTAGCGTCCACCCAGCACTGATTTAAAAGGACCGGAGAGGCGCAAAGCGGCTGCAATCTCATCCCTGGTAGCTTGCATCTTCACATATTAGCACTAAGCTATGGTTTGGCTTGCCATTCCTGCAGATTTAGCCATTATGAGGTATACAAATAAAATAAGCTATACTTCTTTTTGCATCCTTGACTGTATATAAGGGTATGTCTCTTAAAGCTTTCAAAAATGGTACCCTCTATGTGTTTTTGGCCGGTTGCTTGACATTTACAATAGTAAAAATATGTAGGAGGAATAGAGATGTCATATGCATCCTGAATCTGCTATGTGGCCCCAAGAAGACTTAAGGGGAAATATCCGTGTGCACTGTGAAATTATTGCACTGGAAAACAGCCTGTGACCTCTCCCACACTAAGAAAATGGTGCATGAAGCATTACTAAGGGCATGAAAACATCAATATATGAATGTGCAATTATTAGCATTGTGAGTCATCGCTACCCAGACCCAGGAAACTTAAGCATCTCACAAGCAATATTACTCTTTCCAGGTGCTTTCCCTAGATGGTGGCATGTGCTACTCAGCATGTGCTGCTTAACTTAGGTACTACAGCTTTCAGGAAGTGATGGCCTATGGTTAGAACTGAACTTGAACCTGACTTTATAGAAGAAGTCTGGGAAGAAGCGGCAGGAGATGCAGGTCACCAGCTGGACCGAGGTGGCGGCACATCTGTGATAAGAAACCTATGAACTATATTTCGGCAAATCTGTTAATATAGCAGGTAAGGTGCAAGGCTGTGGAAAATCACAGTACAAAAGGTTGGAATTGAGGCAAGTGTAAACTGCAGGCCTAAGCATGCTTACTTGGAAGTAAGCCTCCCTGAACTCAGTTGGAGTTACATCCAAGTAAGCATGCGGTAAAGCCAGGTAATTGGAGGCAATTTAGGAGAAACTCAAGTGTAAGCAAAGAGAGAATTCTAAGGGACCAACTGCGGGATTCAGAAGGAAGTGACATTGGCTGTTTTGCCAGGATACTTCTGAAGAGCTGCCTGCCGTGATTCCATACAGAAATGGTCAGTAAATCAAGAAAGTGACATGTTGGGCATGCATTTTTGATAAGGTTCTGACTGCAAGAAATTCCTTGTGGCTGGTTTTATTAGAGTGGGGGACGAAAGTCTGGCGTGATGGAATATCCTTGAAAGATGTTGTTGCATATCTGCTGGATGCTGTGCCATAATGCACAAATTGATAGTATGTTCTTTTTCTTTGCCCTCTCCCCCACGTCTGTTTTCCTTGATCAGGCAAACAGCATTCGCTTTATCAGACTGTGTTACAGCAGAGATTAATATTGGTCCACCTCCCTTTAAGCCCCATCCCTGATTTACACCAGCAAGCTTTTTCTTCTCTGTTGGACAATGGACAAGAAGAAGCATGAAGGTACCTCAACTTCCTTGTGTTTAATCCTTTCAGGACAAGAATATCCCAGCCCAAGACCTGTCACTGAAAAGCAGCTTCATAGCCCAGCCCTGGCTGCTGAAAGAATATTCCCCTTCTGATGTTTACATCTTGCTTTTCTTTTAACTAGTAGGATGCATTCCAGACTGTCCCTTTTTAAGAAACTGGTAACCTTTATAGAACTAGCTACAAATCTATATGCTTTAAGAAACGAAAAACACAGTAATCTTTAGAGGACAATATTAGCTGTGTTGCTATGGTGCAGTGTGGGGGCGGCTAATTAGACACAGATACATACAAAGTTTTCTGGTGTCCATGGCAACTATCAGGCGTAAGAAGAAGAAGAAGAAG